GTGGGAGGACTCCGTGGGATTGCGTTTGACTTTGATCTCTGGTGTTAGGACGGTGTGTCCCAATGCTTATATCCCTTCTACACAGTTGCAAGCTTTTTGTATTTGTATCTGAATTTAATTGACTATCTTTTTGACTCCATGTGGTTATAGCAGATATGATTGTTTCTGGAGAATTTCAGAAGGGGAATTAGCATTGAGCTTTTAAAAGTTCTTATTGGAGATGATTTGAATTTAGAGAATTAATTTCCATGTGATTCATTTGTCTAGGAATGATTGTGGAATCTAAGTGAAGAACTTTAGGCAGAATGACCAAACAATTTTGCAATGTAATTGCCGACAAATGCTTCCGTATGAGACAAGTGAAAGCTTTTTAATTTGTTTCTAATTCATTTATGCTAATATTATAATTCTGAATAGTTTAGGCCCTCTTTCCATTGTGTTTTGGTGTGGATAATTTTAACTGCGTGGAAACTAACATTTCCCCTGATACTTTGACCCTTCACAGAATGGTCCTAAACGTTTTTTTAATGTCTCTAGAGAACCTGGCAATATAAGGAATTAAGTAACAGAGATGGAATAAAGGATTTTTACCTCTAAAAAATCAACGTCTTTCCCAAGGATTTTCTGCAGCTCCGTTCTCACTGACTGGAGAGAGCATTTTCCCCTGATGACAGATCTAGCAGACTAGTTCCAGTCGTGACCTCACGTTTCCTGAATTGTGAATTTCTCCTATTCTGCCCCTGACTTGATAATAGAAGGTAGGAACGAATTAAGACTGAATGACCCCAAACATTGTTCGTGCTGGAGAAAATCGTTTAAACCACAATCCCTGAAGGGTCTTAGGAACACTTCAGTGGCAACTCTTGAGATTCTGGATCGACTTTTGTGACTAGGAGTGAAGATAAAATTTAAAAGTGGTTACTCATGGTATGTGGATAGCAGCCTCCACTTGATCCCTGGGGGCCTTGTAGCCCCCAGGTTTATATCCCCAGACACCTGTGACAGGTGCCACAGGTGCTGAGTCCACTCCCAGCAGGAGCCTGCTTATTGTCTCTTTCAATCTAATATACATTTTTTAGGCAAATAAAATACAGATTAAAGAACTTTTGCAAATACGATGTTCCCATCGTCTAACTTCCGTGTTTATCACATTGTTTTCTTTAACTTCATGCTAACTACTTTAACTCTTTTGAAAGGATTCAAAACATAGCCCTCAGCCCACCCAGCGTCTAGAAGCTGTTAGTGAGCTGGACACACCTTCAGAATGTTGTGCCTGTCTCTTTCTTAGCACGTTTCAGTCTACATCTTTTCATGTCACTCTCTGCTTGAGAAAACTGCCGGCTGTGGACACATACGCTTTTGATTGTTGGCCACATTTTAAATTTCATATAGGAAATTTGTAACAATAAAACTGAAGATACAATTATTTATAACTGGTTTTCAAAAAAAAGAATTGAAGTAGTTACCAGAAGGATATGAACAGCTTAATTTTGTATTTTTTAACTCTTTTTTCACTTTAAAGATATGAGTGGGCTTTGGGCCGAGATATGACAGTGTATTATAGAAAACAGGTATTTTTATACCCGCAAACAAAATGAAACTTGTGGGGAATTGCCTTACCTGGAGTAACACAAAATGAAGACGCCCACTAAACAAAAAATGCTTATATCTCATTTTAGTGGGTGTGAAAATTCTTTCTCCTGACTTGAGCTATGTTCCTGGCCCTCCTCCCCTCGAGGGAGAGGCTCCCCTTCTGGACTGAGGATGTGGTCTCGTCATCCTGAGCCACGGCAGGTGTCTGCAGACCTGCGTGCTCAGCCACGCGTCTCAGTCTTGTTGAGAAGAACTGCCTGACAGTAACTGTTCTAAAACCAGGTGCTATTTTGTCAGACGCTTTCTAAAACTTCCGTGGCTCACATCTGGAATGCTCCTTAGAGGAGGTTAGTTAGTCTCAGTTTGGGGTACTATTTATCATCCAGTGATTCTTAGAGGTTAACCAGGAGGCCATGATTTTTTTTTAAAACAAGATGATTCAGTGAGGCATGATTTAGGTTCTTCTGTGACCATGGTGAGTACCTAGTAACTTCAGAAGTTTTTTTCAACCAAAATTGTTTTGACTATGTTCCGGGGAGTTCTAGGACAAACTAAACAAACCGTCTCTTCTGGAAACAAAAAAGGGAGTTGTTGCCTGGACACTGGGTTCCTCCTAAATCACTGGGCTGACTGGACGGTGGGCAGGAACAGGGGGAGCTGAGCCCACCAGAGCTAGATCAGCCCTGATCAGTCCAGGAGCCCCAGGAGGTTCTGCTGCTGGTACCACTGGACCCTGGGTGCCGCTGCCTGAGCCACTGCCGCGTTCCCCTGAGCCAGGGCTCCCTGGGCCCCACCATCCCTGCTGTTGGACAGACTCTCCTGTGCATTACCAGCCCCAGGTCCCCAAATCCAGTGTGTGTGTCCGTGGTCACGGAGTGCCTCGTACCTGTGCCCTGGGGATGCAGGGGTCCTCCGCCTCCACCAACACTCGTAGTGGAGAGTTCTCGGCACGTGGTGGAGACCCCAGGCAGGCTGACGATGTCAGGTGTCCTCTCCGTGCACAGCTGCTCAAGCAGGTGTCTGTGGGCTGAAGTGGGCAGAAAGCTGCTTCCCAGACACGTTCTGGGGTCGCTCCCATGGCCCCTTCCGAGTGGCAGGTCAGGAGAGGATTTCTTCTACGTAGCAGAAATGGACGTTTAAACTGTTGGTTTTGTTGTGATTTTGTGTTCTGTTTTCTTGAATTTGCTATTCCTGATGATGAACTAGCTCTGGAAAACGTCCTGTTGGTCTGTCTTGATACAGTGAATTCAAACATTCCCTGCTGTGCTTATTTGAAATAGGAGCAGGCATTTTCTATATTTTAGTGGCATATGGTGCTAAGATTTTTATCATACTCTCTTACAAA